CCAAATCACATGCGCCATCGCCTTGTCGCCATGTGGACGTGAAAGCAGCTCCAGTCTTCAAGACTGTCCCAGTTGATAAAACCCTCCCCACTACAGGGCTTAATAGACCAAACTCGCCAATCTGCTGACATCGTCACGAGGCACGTAAGGCATTGCTCTAAACAATTCCACAGGCTCAGTCCATCCTCCTTCTCATCGACCATGAATGCGATGTTGATTACATGGTGCGTTGCAAGAGCTTCTAACTCGGCAGTAAAATCAGCATCCGGCACCCACGTTGGCTTCGCCAGATATGTAATGCATTGTGAGCATTGGCGTTGATCTGCTTCACTTGTAAATGCGCCACCTATAAAATGATTGCCCATTGCAATTCTCGTAGACTTACATTCGTGGTCAAGCTCTCGGTGAACATGTAAGTTTCGATGAAATGGAAATCGTGCTGGTAATGCACCGCGCAAAACTGCACGGTGCATCCTTTCTATCCCGTTGTGCAGATAATCGCGGACGTGGATGGGATAAACGTCAATGTTGACGAAGTCGTCATCTTGTTTCTGGTGCTGGTGGTGGTGGTGGTGGTGGTGCTGCAGCTGTAGCTGTTGCCACCGATACAGAGCCAGTCTGTTGCGGAATCGATGGAAGGATTTTGTCAGTGCACTGCGATACATAATCGCCTCACAAATATTTTCTATCGAGGCGTTGAGTGGGTGTGGCAAGAGTAGCTGACAAAGGCGCTTGTCAAACCACGTCCACTGCCTTATATGCTGCTTCATGACATGGATGAAACGGCGTCTTGTGAGAAACGCCTTCCATCTTGGAACGGTGGTGCACAGGTTGACCAAATCCGCAGCATCGAGATACTCGCAAATCTGTAGTGCCACTATGGTCGGTAGGTCAGTGAGTGTGCGTTGTGAAGTGGTCTGTGTGCAATCAAGAGAAAGTCGCGGCATTAGTCAATGAAGTCAAAATTGGTAGCGGAAAGTGAAGCACTCACCATCATCGACGTATTAGATGTGAGACTGATGGTGGAGCCGTGATGTCACGCCTTAAATGCAGCGTGTCTGAGGAGAAGGGGTCATTGGGTTGACCTCACCTTCATGATGCTCCAACATTGGCTCTGCCATTGTGTGGTCAACTCACGACGCGGTCCTGCCCACCTCCTTCATTCGAGGACACGGACGACACGAAGACAATGCATGCTCATTTCAGCACAACGCTGTCGCTCAGACACACCACCACCACCATTGGTGGTAGAGTTGATGTGCAAGCGTTGGAGTAACCTCAAACGGTACTAGCCTGTGTGTCGGATTCTTTTGCACTCGTGTCCGTACCACAACCAGAGAAGCTCATCGTTTA